TTGGCCGACCAGGGGTCAGAAGGTTCAAGCCCCAAAGCTGGTCATCCATGAAGCCCTTGAAGTTAGCTTTCCAATGCCGCAAACCTTGCATTAAAATTCCTCATGTGCAAAAAGTTATGCCAGTTTCGGTGAAACCGCGCAGATTTGGTCCTACCCGGATTCATGCCGAACTTCTCCCAAACTAGTTTTCCTTTCTCTTCTCCTCTTTTCTTCAACTCCAAACCCCTAGACAAGGTGTTTTGAAAGATTTTTCAAAGATTTCATCTCTCTTTCGTTTATTTCCACTTTGTCCTTGCTCGGTTTACCGAAAAGCGCAACATTTGACAAAATGCGAGCCTCGGAACATCGTAAAAACTTTATTTCAAAAAACGTTTTGAAAGAGAGGGTTTTAAGGTCTAAAATCTTTTGATCAAGATTGTTTTGGTCCAAAAAGGGGTATGAAGTTGAGATTTGACTCTCCTCTTGCCGAAGAAATCGACCCTTTGCACTGCACAACTTCCAAAACCATCAGTCGCGTCTAAGTCTTAAAGGTGGTCAAAAATGGGGTGTCTACAACTGTGAGAGAGCATGTTCAACAATCATGGGAGGACATTTCGACAGTTAGAAGCCCACTTTGACGGTTATCATTTAAAATTATAAATAGCAAAGAAGGCCCCAGAATGAAAGATCCAGACTCGGATCAAAGAACTAGTTTATTTACTTTGTTTTCCCTTCCAATTTTTACAGTTCCTTACATTTCTGCACTTCAATTCCTGTATTGCACTTTATTCCTAAGAGTAGTTTCAAATAGTTTGTTGCTGTAAACCTCTACGAGACTGGGTCAGATCATTGTAAGTTTTTCATTTTACTTAATGAAATTTTGAAATTATTCTTCATTTAATTGTTATTTACTAAATTCTCTTAAACAAGCCACCAGTAAAAGTCCTCTTTATTGAGGTTGAGAGTACTAAAACATAATCGTTTGATAATTGGTTGGCAATTAATCTTCTGTAAGGACTGATTGATCCTAACTGGCACGCTTAAAATTACAATATTAACCTTCGAAAGCCAAAAAAGCCAACACCCGCACCACTGTTGCCAATACAATCTGAGATTGTCGGCGTAGTGGCGGTGAAATCTCATTGTGGATCTCTCTCTCTCTCTCGCTCTCTCTCTCTTCAATAGAGAATAACGAGATATCTACAATAGCGGAAGACAATGAGAGGCTGACGACCATGTAAGCGACGGAGATGATGCGGTCAACGATGACGTTCTAGGAGAGGATGAGAGAGAAATGGAGACAAGACGAGAGAGAGAGAGAGAGAGAGAGAGAGAGAGAGAGAGAGAGAGAGAGAGAGTGAGTGTGTGTGTGTGTACGTGAGTGAGTGACAGTTTGACTTAAAGAGAGAGAGATAGAGGAGACAAAGTGAGCAGCATGTAGTCAGGGTTGGAAATAAACGGAAGTGGTGGTAAAGAAGAAAAAAAAATCCGTGGATATTTTGATCATTTCGTAAAATCTTGTTCTTAAGACATAATAAATAAACGTCAAGATCTTCGAATGAAGAAAATATTAGATTCGATTTTTTGCCCGAACAAGTAATAGACAACATGTGCTCTTATATATTACTTATTTTTGTGTAATTTTATGGTTGATTATTGCAGTCTCAAAATTGTTCCTATGATAGTGTTCAAAAAAAATAAAATAAAATACTGTTCATATGAAAATATGTACCACCAACTCACCGGCTTAGAAATCGTATCTAGAAATGATAATTAGAATTTGGATGTATGATATATGTTTAAATTACGTCTTAAAATTGATTCTCGTGACTGCTCTCAGTTAAGTGTTGGCGGGACGTATTGAATCAATTAACGTGTATCAAGCATTTGTTTTCTGTTTAGGGAATAATTCATATTTTAAGTAGGTTTGCGTTAGAATAATACGTATTAATTGGTGTATTAATTAGTATATGATGTGACATAATTTAAGAGATTTTTGGTATGTATAATGTGATTAATAAGTAAGGTCAATAACAATGTTATAATTAGTGTTAGTAGACTAATTAATATACTAATTGGTGTATGTAACACCACCGCCGTTTTTGTTAACATGTACCTTGGTAGATGTTAAGAAAGTATTAAATGAGTGTATTTACTTCTATTTGTATAGAAAATAACACAGCATTGAAAGTTATCTTAATTAAAGATTTTTTATATTTATAATGAGACCAAAATACCATTCCCCTCCTTTATTTTTGATTGATTTTTTGTAATATGTTTTTTCTAAAAAAATTAAAATTTAGTTTGGTGAAAAACAAAATTTTTTAAAAATCAAACACTTATTTTCATAGATTTTTTTGGAACATAAAATAATATTTAAAAATTCAAATATATAGTTTTATTTAGTTTTGTCAAAAAAAATATAATTTTAAATACAAATTCTAAAAATTCAATCAAATAAAGATATTTTGCAACTAAAGTTTTCTCAACAGTACATTCATAAATGTTGGTCAAGTTCTCACCATATTAGAACCATTAAAATATACATATATATATATATAATACTTTCTTTTATTTTTTTTAATTACACATAGTAGTTAAAGAATTTTTGTCTTACAAAAACAAAGGTAGTTATATCCATATAAATAAATAAATAAATTAACTCTTCAAAAAAAAAATCATAATTAATTTTCATTGTATCCTTACATTCCCATATAAGTGTAGGAAATTAAAATTTATTTATTCCTTTCTTAACATGTCACATGTTAACAAAATCCTTTTAAGTAACCCTTAAGAGATTTATTTGTAATTTATCCTTATTATTATTTTGAACACACTAATTTGGGAAAATTATCATTCATGGGTGTTTTGAAAAATTATTACACATTGGTGAAAAAAATTATGATTTTAACTATTACTATTTATGATATTTTCTATTTTTTATAAATATTTTTTCCGACTACATGTCCGTGTAATTCTCCAATTAGTACAACCTAACATATAGTGACAGCGTTTATAGTTAACCGTGTCAATAAATGGAGTTTAGTAAAGCACAAGCAGTGTTGATTTGTAGTTCGAATGAGCGTGGCTCGACATCAAAACGATATTATTTTGGTATTTTTTTTTTCTTTTTTTTTTTTTGTAGTTCGAATGAGCGTGGCTCGACATCAAAACGATATTATTTTGGTATTTTTTTTTTCTTTTTTTTTTCATTCTTTGCGTTTTGATGAAGATGAAGAAGAAGAAGAAAAGAAGAAGGAGGGAGGAGTTGCGCTACTGGGTTCATCAATATCAACAACAAAAAAAAAAATTTGTTGATCAACATCAACAAATTTTTTTCTGAACAATTTTTTTTGTTCATCAACATCAAGATCTGGGTCTACAGATCCAGATCAACATCATCAACATTTTTTTTTTAACAAATTTTTTTTTTGATCCAGATCAAATTTTTTTTTTGAACAGCTTCAGATTTTGAACATCATCATCATCTTCAACATCATCATCATCTTCATCAACAAAAAAAAAAAAAAAAATCCCTTTCATCCTCACCGACCGCCATCATTCAGATCAAATTTTTTTTTGAACAGCTTGAGATTTTGAACATCATCATCATCTTCATCAACAAAAAAAAAAAAAATCCCTTTCATCCTCACCGACCGCCATCACCGCCGATCACCGACCGCCATCACCGATCTTTATTCTCTTCTCTCTTCCTCTTCTCTTCTCTCTTTCTCCCTCTCTCTCTCTCTCCCCCCTTTTTTCTTCCCTATATTTGAACGCACAGAGAAACAAAGAAAAGGAATAAATAAATAAATAAATAAATACCCAAAACGACGTTGTTTTGGATATTCACACCAAGGTTCAAGCCAACAATTTCGAGCAACGGATCATTTTTCTAAGAGTTATTTTAGAAATTAACTATTTTAATTGTTTTTTATTTTTTTTAATGAAAAATATTACATATTTGAAAAAAAAAATATTTGAGACACTTAATTTATAATTTTTAAAAACCATCTTTAATGATATGTTTGATAAGTATTAAATTTTAGTGTAAATTATAAACAGATCATTTGAGGTTTATTTAAATTATAAATTACTCCTTGTAATTCTAGAAATTACGTTATGCCTCCTAAGATTTCTAATTTCATAACAAATAGGTCATTTTATTAATAAATCATCAAATTAATTAATAATTTTTAATAATGTTAAAATTTTATTTCAATTAATAATTCAAATAATTTTATTATTGTATATGTGAACAATTAAAAATTTCACTTTTTAAATTAATTCTTTTAAATAAAAAATTTCTGACAATGAGGTATTTGTAATTTTTCAAACCACAAGGGACAATTCGTATTTTAAGCAAACCTCAAGGAGTGTCTTTATAATTTATCCTAAATTTTAATTTATCAAACATTTTATTATGTGAAATCTTCTAATTTTAATGTTACATCAGTACTACTATGTTTGATTAGGAGATTTGGAAAGAAGAAAGAAAAATATATGTGAAATATAAATAAAATATATTTATATTTTATCTAATTTAACCTTTTTTTTTCTTTTTTTAATCAGACACAATGTAGGTGTGATAAATTAGGTGAATTATAAGGTCTTTTGGGAAGAAAAAAAAAAAAAGTCAACTTCTAACTTTTTACCCATTTTAGGTCATATCACCTCTCATATTTCTTATCTATAGGATGACCTAAATAAGTGTACTTTTTGTCTTTTTACGAAAAGATGTACAGAAAAGTAGAGAGGTGATGGGATGAAAAAAAGATAAAAAGATATATTATTTTTGGGTTGCAAAACTTGGCAAAAGCTGACTTTTTAACTTTTTAATTTATTTATTTATTTATTTTTTGAGTAAAAAATATAAAAATTAATATGACCTAAAATGAATAAAAAACTAAAAAGTAACCCTTTTTTTTTTTTTTTTTTTTACTTCCCAAAAGACCCCTATGGTGTTATATCCGGAAATTGGCTTAAGTCGGTTTATATTTATATATCAGTTAATAAGTAAACCGACTTTCCTTCAAAATCCTATTTCCCTCCTCAACCTCTCTCTCTCTCTCTCTCGCTCATCTTCATTTCCATTAAAGAACAGAGTTCTTCAAAAACCAAGATCAAACCCAAAACAACCCATTCAATAATGGAGGACTATCGGCCCAACCAACCCATCGAAGTTCGCGGGAAACAAGAAAGGTTCTTCGGTTCACACTACCCTGCAACACTCCTCGCCGCAATCGGAAGAAACCATTTCTTGGTCCGCTACCAAACCCGGTGCACAGAAGCCAGGACACGACTCTTAATCGAATCTGTTGATGCCTCCCAAATCAGACCTGTGCCTCCCGATCTTCAAATTTCCAATTTCAATGCCGGCGATCGAGTCGAAGCTTTCGTCAATGGAGGCTGGTGGGTTGGCAGGATTGCGCGAAAGATCGATCCTAATTACTATGTGAGGTTGGATAGTACTGGGAATGAAGTCCATTGTGCTTTTTACGGAGTCAGGATTCATCTTGAATGGGAAGATGGGAATTGGGTTTATCCTCGAAATGGGTATGTATGAGTTTTATAATTGTTTTGATTACTTTTTGTTCTTGCCTGAGTGTTGTTTGATCAATTGTTTCTTTGTTTAGTGTTTATTGAATTTGGGTTTAATTACTTTTACTTCTTGCCCAAGTCTTGTTTGATTAATTGCTTCTATGATAGTGTTGCTTGACAAGTGTTTTTTGGAGCTTGATTTGATACAACCAAAAGAGGACTTAATTATTACTTCAGAATGATAAGTTTGCATTTGAATAAAAAACATTGCCCAATTAGTACACATTAATGTGTGTTTGGGAAGTAACCTTTGGGTACTTACGTGTAGGTCCTAATAAGTTGACTTATTATTTAATAGGTCCTATGGCAAAAATTTGTCATAAAAAAGTCACTAATTGTAAGTTTTTGTGACAATTTACAAAAATCATAACAAAAAAAATCACTAATTGTCAATTTTTAACGACAAATATAAAAAATTGTCGCAAAAAAATTATTTTTAGCGATAATTTTACCAAGACTTATTTTCAATAAGACTTTATGAGAATTAAGTCCAACTATTATAACCTATTGGTAGTTTACCCTAACCTTTATCATAGTGTACAAAGTGACTGCCGTGACTTGAACCCATAACCTCAAGGTTATTAGGCCAAGGTTTTGTGTTTATTGAATTATAAGATTGCATTTGAATAATTGATGAATTTGAAGATGAATGGATTTGAATATTTGATAGTATTTAAATTTGCAAATATATGACAATGCCAGGTACTTGAGTTGGATTAGAGACCTAAGATCTTTGTGCGACTAGAATTTTTTTTTTCTTTCCTCCTCTATAAGTGAGCGTTTTATTTCCAAAAAATCAAAATGAAAACATATACAATAAATCTCAAAATATAGCCTTGCAAGTCTTAAAAGAGGTGCACAGGGCATCAAGAAACTTGCCTAAAGGAAAAGCACTAAAGAACTATCTGCAAAGCATAATCTCAAATGACCCAAAGGCTAGACCATAAAACAAACAAAAATCCTCTAACAACCTGAGAGGATAGGGAAAATTAAGGGGGTTTTGTTTTATGCCCATAGTGTACAAGGAGTTTTCATCCTAGTTTTCCTTCGAGTGGAGAACAATGTTTGTGGTTTGTACTCTAGTAGCCTATGTTATTACACGGTCTTGGGTAGAATTCAACCTCAAAAGTTAGTTCTATCAAGAATTGTGTAACACGGTATCAAAGCCAGAGTTAGGGATGAGTAGGGTTTGTGTCACTTGTCTAAATGCAGTAGGTGCTTTTGTGTGAGCACGCTGTGGTGAGGGAGGATGTGAAGCAAAGTCCCACATTACCTAGCTACAAATGTAATGTGTGGTATATAAGCATGAGAGTACCCTCATTTCAACAACTAACTTTTTTGAGGTTGAGTTCTACTACCCAACCATGTAACAACCTTGAGGACATTATTCTTTCCTGCTAATCCAATCCTTGTAAGTTAACAAATATGAAGTTAAGCTATATATACCCATATATATACCCTGTTATTTGAAATCCATTTGTAACAATCCTTGTAAGTTAACTTCATCTATATATATACACCTTGTTATTTGAAATCATTTGTAACAATCCATGAAAGTTACCAAATATGAAGTTAAGCTATATATGCCTATATATAATCCTTTAAAGAATAACTTCTTTCACCTTTGTTTTTGTATTTGAAATCCATTCGTAACAATCCTTGTAAGTTACCAAATATGAAGTTAAGCCATATATACCCATATATATACTACGGTACTACCCACACGTGGAAATACTTCTTGCAAAGCTATATATACCCATAATAAATGCAACCTAAAATACATATATACCCACACATGGAAATGCAACCTAAACTGATATGATTTGAACTTTATGTAATATTATTTTCTCCTCATTCTTGCTGGGCTGAATATGATTCTGTATTTGGTCTTCTAAGTTTCATTCTATGAATAGTTGGTGAGTTCTGCATTGTTTCAGCACTTTATTTATTTATTAATGAATAATATGAGGTTTCTAATGTGGGTCTAGAGACTACATTGCTGGTCTCTGTGCTGTGTTTTTGCTAAAAGCTTGCTCATACCCTCAGTGTTCATCTACACATGAAGAAATTTCTTTTGTTGTTTTCGTTTATCATGTTTTGCGTAGGAGTAATGCTATACAAGTAGGAAAATTATACATTATTCATATTTTTAATAATAATATGATTGGATTGAGACCTATGACCTTAAAAAAAAGTATCCATCAAAATGGCTTTTAATTACTTTATTTATTTATTTTCTTAATGATCTTGGCTGGCTTCTTATAACTTCGAATTTAGACTCACTTGGATTTTTGTTTTTTAAATGTATTTTTTTGCAGGCCTCAGAACTCTCAAGCAAAAGAGGGGGAAGAAAAGAAGTGTTAGGCTATGATAGATTGCTTCATCAAACATTTCCTTTTCATATATATATATATATATATACCTTCTGAATCACACAGATGATACAGATTTGCAGTGAGTTAGAGCTTAGGTGACCACTATACTTGGTTCTGTTTGTTTATTTTTCTTCTATATGCGATGGGGTTCAAATGAGAAAGTTTAGGGATACTAGAAAATGTACAGAAAAGACACGAGGGTGTGAGAGTCGTGAGCTGGTTTCAAAGCTTTCATGACTTGATCTGTACTTGAAAGTTGGAAATAGCCACATGTTTGCTTGACAAGTGAGAAAAAAAGACAAGAAAAAATTTAAAAAAAATGGTATACTTGTTTGATAATTTGCCTTCGTCTCATATTGAATCAGTCCACAATTGGTAGGCTGTGTTTTGTTATATTATATATTGGATGGGCTTTTGCATGTAGTAGATATTATACATTAAATCACTTTTTGTGGAGGCTGTGTGTGTCATATTATACATTGGATGGGCTTTTTCATATAGATATTGTACGTTTAATCACTTTAAATGTTCAGATGCCTAAGATGCTGTTTGATCTAGGTTGATTTCTTTTTCCCTTTGATTATATAGATTTATTGAATATGAATGACTTTAATATCTTTTCAAGCATCATACTAGAAGACTCACTTATAAAGCCTCCTTAAAATTCCCTCTAGCTATCCAATGTGTTCAATTTTATTATTATTTTTTAATTTTTTGAGAGTCATATGCTTTTCGGATTGTAAAAATCCTTGATCGGTTGGTTGATGTTGACTAATTAGACTAGATTAATTTTGGCAACATATGGAGTTTTAGCCAAAAAATTACTATAAAAAAGTCAACTCTTATCTTTATTTTTTTACACGTCTTTTGAAAATTGACTTTTTAACAATTCTCAAAACAAGAAAAGTAGAGATAGAAGTTTTTTTTAATAACTTTTTAATTTTTTAACTATTTTAATATATTGTCGAAACAATCTAAGATTTGTGTCCTATTCAAGTAGGTTCGCTACATGAATATTTTTTTTGCCACTATGATCCTCCAAGGGCTATATGTTCAGTTAAAATATATATATATATATATATATATATTTACTACTGTATTCTATGTTAGTTTAGGTTTTTTTCCGCGTTAACATTTTCATTTATAGTGATCACTTTTTCATACTGTGTTGATATATCTTCATTCTTATCATGTTCTCTTTCAACTTATCTTTAATTGGTATTAATCCTATCATGTCAATAATATATATTTATTTCTAATTTTATTTTCTAGTTTTACAACAAATCCTTCTAAAACTTGATTGGGTCATGATAAATGTAATGGAAAATATTAAGGTCAGTTCTTAGCTTTTTCTAAAGTAGATAGAAATGTAATTAAACGAGCACATGAGCTGGCTAGAACGTGTGAATGGTTTTATTAAGGTCAAGTTTGGGAAGTTCATAAAAAATTAAAAAGTCAAAAAGTTATTTAAAAAGTTAAAAAGTTAACACTATTTACCAAAAGTCAACAATTACGGCTGCACAAAGTACACTTATTTAGGACACCCCAAACAATCCCTAAGTAATATATTATTTGAGTTCTTAAAAAAAAAAAAATCCTTATAAAACATTTTTATTTTAGTTATACTCATTTTACATCTCCATATTTTTACATTTATTATTATAATTATTTTTTATATAGTGATTTACAATTTCTCCTAAGATATATGCCAAAATATGCTGTCAGTGCCACTAATTTATTGGTGGCATCACTTTGTTCTACAATTCTTTGTTTTGATAAAAATACTCTTTTTCAATGCATATGATATGCTTGTTCCAGAATTTTGTTCATGCTTTTGGATCTGATACTATTCCCATTGTGATTTTCTACCTAACAGTGACATTTTAACCTAATTGATTGGAGATACCCTTTAGCATCATGAAGTGACCAAGCCCAGTGTCAAGTAAACTAACACTCTTAAAAACCAAAACAAATAAACAAATAATATGAAAAATTGTTCCAAACCCAACTCAACTCTCCTTTCTCCATGGCCTTTAGAACTAATCCATTTTCAACAGTAATTTAAGGCTCTGTTTGTATGCTAGTTAGATTGGATGAGATTGAATAAGAGAATTATTAGTGTAGTGATATTAGGTTAGAGATATAAAATAAATTCTGTTTATTTGTATAGTGGTATGGTGGTGTTAGTTAATTATGATTAAATTTATGAATTTATGTAAAAGTCCTCAATATATAAAAAAAAATAGCTTTGCTATTTTTGTAAAACATGGGTTTAATGGTATTTTCACCATGAAATTGGATTGTGAAACCCAACCCTCCCATGAGATTGCTAATAGCCAATTGGGGGAGATTTGTAGTCTCATGGCATTGTTCCAAAACAAACATGATTTGTACGAGACTCACCAAGTTGTTAGTCTAATTCCACCACCTCTAGACTAAAACAAACATGGCCTAAGAATAAGAGAAGGGTTACTATATCCACCCTTAAAATGGTGCATATGGTATTTATATTTCATAACAGTACTATAAAATTTTGTAATAAAAATCATAAAATGATGTTCCCTTTCTCACCATAAAATTTAAATATTAATTTTTTCATTTTCTTGATTTAACTAAAAATAATAGGTTTATCTTTTTTTAATTAATTCATTTTCTTTTTATATCATTTCTATCTCGTTTTTCATAAAATCTAATATTCAAATTAAAACGTATCATAAAGACTTGTTGGCCAAGTTGAGAATCAATGGGTCTTGTTAAGTTGGTTAACCTCTTGGCCACTATGACTTTCTACAAGAAGAGATTTACGGTTCCATTCATAAGAGTTGAATGTGAGCGTGTTTTTATATGCAATGTTTTCCATGCTTTTTGCAACAAAAGAAAACATTTTCCATGTTTCTAGTTGTCAAAGTCTCCAAAAAGAATTGTACATTCAGACGTTTTAGACAATCTCCATTGATGATAGATTTAGAGTTATCAGTTTGAAGTTCTTAACGTCTAACAAACTTTTTGAAGTAGGGGAGACATGTTAACGTGCGATGTTCAATGTCTTTGGCAATAAAAGAAAACATTTTCCATGTTTTTAGCTGACCCATTCAAGTTTTTGTAGTACAACCCAGCTTCCTTCTTATTTCTTTCTAGTTTCCTACTAAAACCCAAAGGACTCCAGAGTCTACAGTATCTTTTTCTCATGTTGAATGGCAACTCTATTCAAAAGTGTCCTTTGCCTATATGACTTGAAAGAAAAGAAGTTGATTTTTATTAAAAACATATTAATTTATTTGGCAAGTCTATTCATCGAAAAAAATAAAAAAATTTATTTAACCATTTAAAAAACAGTTAAGAATTATCAAATAAAATAATTTTTTCTTGTAAAAGTCATTTTTAATCAATAGTTTTTTAACGGATTCTCAAAATAGTCAAAATTTTCTGGATGGGTCCACCACCATCGAATAGACACCATATGATGATGGTTAAAATTATACAACGATATTAGGAGTAAGGATCCTCTAGAGTGATTTTTTCCTAAAGTTTCCTAGAGTGTTACATTGTGTGGTTGAGATTTACTGGCAAGTCACATCAATTTTTCTGATGTGATTTACCAGTAAATCTGAATCACACAATATAGCATTCTAGGAAACTTTAAGAAAATTTCACTCTAAAGGATCCTTGGTGCGATATTAAAGGGTAGTATCTTTTTCTCATGTTGAATGGCAACTCTATTCAAAAGTGTCCTTTGCCTATATGACTTGAAAGAAAAGAAGTTGATTTTTATTAAAAACATATTAATTTATTTGGCAAGTCTATTCATCGAAAAAAATAAAAAATATATATTTAACCATTTAAAAAGCCATTAAAAAACAGTTAAGAATTATCAAATAAAATAATTTTTTCTTGTAAAAGTCATTTTTAATCAATAGTTTTTTAACGAATTCTCAAAATAGTCAAAATTTTCTGGATGGGTCCACCACCACTGAATAGACACCATATGATGATGGTTAAAATTATACAACAATGTTAGAGGACTCTAAATTTTGAGTTCTAATGATGTGACGAGGATTTAAAAAAAAAAAAAACACTCACACAAATCACATCACATATAGACCCCACACTCATTAAAACTCCTCTAAAACTCTTTTTCTAGATCTCTCAATCTTTACTTTTAAAATTATAATCCCAAGTGGTAGTTTTAGGACAGCATCCCTGAATCCATCTTATCCATTAGATTTAGATATGGAAAAAAAAAAAAATAGTTATTAGTTAGTTATGAGGAAAAGAAGATACCAGAAAAAAAAAATGATTCCCTTATCGTTGTAATTGATCTTATTTATTATAAAATATGATCAAATTTACTAGATAGAATAGCCAAACTTATTACTCAAAAATAAATTTTAGAGTGAATTACTCAAATTTTGGTCTCTGATTTTTCAATTGTGACACATTTGATCATGAATTTTAAATCTTATTCCAAATAAGGACAATTGAAAATATCATTTCTTAATTTTAAGAGCAAAGTCGTTAATTTGATAAAATATAAACTAATTTGACAAAAATAAATGTTAAAAAAATATTTTTTGAATTTTTTTAAATTATTTCTACTCACCAAATATTTGACACTAATTTATTTTTTTACCAAATTGATCATCCAAACACATAATAAAAATTAATTTGGTAAAAAAAATTATATAAATATGTAAAAGATTTATCAATTTTACATAATTTTATCTTTGGTGAGTAGAAATAATTTTTAAAAATTCAAAAATATTTTTTTAGACATTTATTTTTGTCAAATTAGTTTATATTTTATCAAATTGATGACTTTGCCCTTGAAATTGAGTAATAATATTTTTAATTGCCCTTAGTTGAAACAAGATTTAAAATTAAAGGTCAAATGTGTCACAATTGAAAAATCAGGAATTAAAGTAACACGAGACCCAAATTATGGGGACCTTTAGTGTAATTCGCTCTAAATTATATATATATTTCTTATCTTAATTTCTTTTGTTGTTGTTTTTGTTTTTGTTTTTGTTTTTAAAAGAAGCTCCAAATTAAATTTTGTCACAATATTAGAAGTGGATAAGACTTGCCATATTAGCAAATAACCACGTAGGGTCAAAGGGCTAATGATCTTTTTTATATCTAAATTGTGTGATATATATTTAAATTTTAATTTTAAAACCACATTTAAAATGAATATAGTCAACCTACTTTATTTAACTTTCCAAGTAATTTCTTTCAACTGAATTGCTGATTCAGATAAACTACATAAATTAGATAAACTACATAAAATCATTGATAAATTAAATAAGAATAAATTACACCTTGGAGAAAATAAAATAAATTTCACAATTTTGATATAATTTTAATCTTTCTTTTAGTAACATTAAATTGACTAGGACTAATACGTATAGTATGAATATACAAAGATAATAAAGTAAAAATATATTTTAAGGTAACAGAGATAATAATGTCAATTTTTTCAACCGTATAACTAATGAATTACAGATAAAAATAACACTATGTGAATTAAATTTTTGGGGGACTCCAATATAATTATGACAAAATTATAAGAATTGCTGTATTTTTTTCAAAGCTTAATGGAAGTTAGAGCAATTTACCCATTAAAATATTAAAGGTAAATTACACTGATGTCCCTTGATGTTTAAAGAAAATACAATAAGTCTCATACTTTTGATATAATTACATTAATCTCTCTTTTAGTAAGATTAAAGAGATTGAAACTAATGTAAATGGTATGAAGAGACAAAAATAAATAAGATAAAATATACATTTTAGTATAAAGGAGATAATAACATTTTTTTTATAAAATTTATACAACTTAAAAATTTCTAATAAAAAAGGGGCCAAGCGTTATATAAATTAAAACTAAAAGGATATTTAGTATAATTATATTAAACTTAGGAGACTTACTAATTTTTTGTTGAAATCTCGAAAAAGGTCAATGCAATTTATCTAATTATTAATTAACCAAGACAGCTTGTATGTACACCACCATTAGATCATTAGAAATAAATATTAATTCTATAAATTAATTTTAATGGAACCCAATGTCACGTTATTAAAAAGAATAAGTTACATTCACATTCTTTAAAGTTTTAAAAAATATACTCTCACACTTTTGACATAATAACACTAACATCTCTTCTAATATAATTAAAGTGACTAAAAGTAATGTAAACGGTATGTAAATATTGAAATAAATATAGATTATAATTAAAAATAGATCACAATAATATCATTTATTTATTATTTAACTAACGAAATATTGATAAAAAAAAAAGAACTTAATTGTTATATGAATTAAAATTTATGTCATTATGTTAACAATATATAGCTAATCGTAATTTCTCAAACTTTAGGGGAGGTGGGTGTAATTTATCCTTTTAAAAACTAGATGTATTGATCTTCATGGTGGAGTTTGATCCTTAAGACTTATCATCAAAATTACAGTGTATTCAAGATAGTGAAAAAATAAGGAAATTCATAAAAAAATGAACTTAAAAAATATTTTTAAAAAACGACATATATATTTAAAAATTAATTATAAAATCACAGAATGAAAAAGGTCAGCCAACTTCATGTAACTCTCCAAGTAATTTCTTTAAACTGAATTGCTGATCCACATAACTACACAAATCATTGGTCAATTAAATTATTAATTAACCAACCCATCTTCTATATACACCACCACCATTAAATCACTAACAATAATAAATAATAATTCTATAAATCATTTTTTTATATAAAAATTATTAAACTACAAAAGAAGACAAAGAACAAGATCAACAACTTTGACCACCACCTGAGGAAGTGCTCCTCCGCCTCTTCACCGGAAAAACACGGTGGAAACCACCGTGCGCCGCCAACCGCCGCCACTCCTCCTCCTCCACCACCACCCCATCAGCAAATTCAATCTGTTGGACAGAAGAAGCATCAAAGAAGCAACTATCGGAGAATCCTCCGGCGAAGGTCCGGCAGGGCGGCTTGGCCTTGCGGCGGCCAGCACCGACGGGGACGTTGCGGAGGGCCCCACCGGCGGTCCAGTACCGCTGGCAGCCTTTGCAGAAGTGTCTAGGTTGATTAACATTGTAGTTGTTGAAATAACAAAACTTGGTTTCCATGGATTTGCACCTAGGACATGGTATGATCTTGTCTGGTCTCTTGTCTGTTATTGTTTGATCATGATGATGATCGTCATCAGCTTTGTTTGGATGATCATCTTTTGTTGTTTGTTGTTGTTGTTGTTGTTGTTGTTGTTGTTGTTGTCTGATTTGTACTGCAATTGTTGTGCCAAATAGCTTGATGCCTTGTGCTCCTCCATGATGAACATCAGCCATGGAGAGAGAGAGAGAGAAAGAGAGAGAGATTGGTGTGTTTGAGAGAGAGAGAGAGAAAATGTTGATGGTTTTGATGGGGAGAGGTCAAGGAGATGCTTCTATATAGGGCTGTGTACATGTATGAATAGGTGATTGGAAAAAGTTATACAGTTGGAAAAAGTATTTTCTATACAGTTGGAAAAAAGTAATTATCAAAAAATGAAATGTGATACAGTCTAAATTCAATTTATATATTTATTTTAGATAATGATTGAAAAATAAAATATACATACATAAAATACATCAAGATATTTTTTAATATAAAGTTATAATAATAATGATATATATAATCATTTTTTATACAATATAATATGACTCATATTAATAAATATGACTTACTCAATTGCGTCTAAAACGGTAAAAATAAGATAAGAAAAATGATTAAATAATCAACTAGTGAAAGTTTAAATATTGTAATAGTGATAAAGATTGCTCACCTTAAATATTGATTGATGGTATCGTAATTATATATTCAATATTATTTGATTGACGCATTAGTCTAGTAAATGATTCTGTATAAAAATGCTTAAAATTCTGACAATAGACTTTTACATATTAATTATTGATTTGTTTATAAACCAATTAAATTAAGGTCCAATTTCTATCCCGTAAATACAGATAAATTTAAAAATCATATATTAAAAATATCTAATATTAAAATTTTATAATAATTTAATAATAAGTAGTGATAAAAAGAGGAAAAAGTACATAGGAAAAAAGTGCAAGTGGATATGGAAAATGTGAGAGATCCGCAAAGCAAAGAACAAAAGAAAAGGAGGTGTGGTGTGTGGGGATGCGTTAAAAAGTTGATGCTGAGCTTTTTGTCCACATCATTACGCCACGTCATCAACAAGCAGCCTAGTTGGAGAATCCGGATCCTCGGCTGCCTTTCTCGGCGGCCGTTCCCAGCAGCCCCCCAAAACGACATCGTTTTTGGGGTTTTTTGATTTTTTTTTTTCTTTCTTCTTCCTTCTTCGCAGACCAGAGCAGAGGGGAGGGGAGGGGAGGGGAAGAAGAGAGAGAGAGGAAGGGGAGGGGAAGGGGTCTCGCCGTCGCAGGTCGTCCGACCGTCGCCTCGCCTCGCCTCCACCGTCGCAGGTCGTCCAGCCGTCGGATCGTCGCCTCGCCTCCGCCTCCGCCTCCTCCTCCTCCTCCTCTTCCCCCGGTGATTATGGCCCCCTCCAGTCCGGCCCACCGGCGGCTCGCCTCCCCTCCCCCTCTCTCTCTTCTTCCCCTCCCCTGCCCTCCCCCCTCTGGTAAAAAAAAAAAAAATCAAAAAAACCCCCAAAACGACGTTTTGGGGGGCTGCTGGGACGGCCGCCGAGAAGAGCGGCCGAGAATCCGGACTCCTAGTTGGAAGGGGGTGTTTGGTGGAATTTTTTTAAGTCAACTTATGACTTCTAATTTTTAAAAAGTTATTTTAGACTATTTGGTTAAACTTATTTCAAACAGTTTCTGATTCTAACAACTTATTTTAAGTCAAAAAAATTAATTCTGAAAAACTACTTACCCCTTGCTTTTGATTGTCAGCTTCTACTGTGGACATGTTAATTCACGACTATATTTTTAGATTTTTTTATTTTTTATTTTTTTAAAAAATAAAACAAGACCCAAATGGACTATAGAATATTATTATTATTTTTTATGAGAAATGTAGACAAATAGTGAATAATAAAAATAAAAGTTAATTGAAAAAGTAACTTCACAGCTTATTTAACAAATACTACTCAGTAACTTAAATCTATAATCTAACGGTTGTACCAAACAAATTAACAACTTTTAATTAAAATCATAATTTATAATCTATTAAATTATAATTTACAATTTGTTCTAACAATTATACCAAATTGGACCAAAGTTCCCCTATGCTGTTGAGAAAGCGGTGGGTGGAAGAAGCATATAAGAAGAGGAGAGATAAGGCTAAATAAAAGTTTCCCTTTTATATTTTATTTGAAAAATCTTTTCATGTGTGTACTCCATTTTGCTTTTGTTGTTTAGATATGTAATATAATAAGATGAGATTGGAAAAATTTTATAATACATGCAAAAAAAGAGAAAAATAGAATATGAATATTTTATTGTGTATTATCTATAGTGTCCAAAAATAACATCATTTTGGAGTTAAATTAAAAACAAAAACAAAAAAGAATTCTAGTCCTTTCATCTTCTCCTTTCTCCCCCTCAAACATATCATTTACACTACAGGGAAATCGAAATACAAAAAAATGAGTAAAAAACACTCTCAATTACGATATTTTGTAATATTTTATTATGACATCATTATGATGTTAGTTATGACACTATAACATATAAGAATTTTATAAATCAATTTTTTTTTGTCTTTAAAAGTATAAATTTTGTTGTAAAAAATATTTAGAGATTAATTTTAGTTGTCGCGAGAACAGTCGCTAAAATATCATCCTCAAAAATATTAGTAATTCATCATGTCTAATTTTGTCGCTAAAAATAAAATAATAACATTTTTTATGACAAAAAGATTATTTTATCCCTAAATTTGTCTCTAAAACATTAATTTTTTGTAATGTGACTTAATAATGAGCAGGGATAGAATTAGAATTTCATCATCGGAGGGATCAAAAGACAAATAAATTTTTTTACCATATACATAAACACTCATGTATGTACAATATGATATATAAATTGTATATATACACATTAAAAAAAAAATCTAATACCATAGAAGTAATTTCTAATAGGATGAAAAAGTTTTTTTTGTGCAAAATAAAAAGAGAATACAAGATGGGATAAGAATGAGATATATATTTTTTATACTGGGAGCCATTTTATATGTAAAATGAGACATATATTTTTAAAATGCCATAACAAATCGTATTTTTGACAAAAACAGAGGGCCATGGCCCTCCATAGTGTTCTCCTAGTTCTGTCCCTAATAATGATTTATATTTGTTACCCAAAAGACAACCTAAGAGGATGGGTGAATTAAGTTTTTACAGTTAAAATTAATAATACCCTAATAAAAATTATGACTAGCACAATAGATAAATATAATTAATGAAATAAAAATAATTATAACAAATGTCTTAACAACTATGTCAATTAATGATTTTAGCACAGTAAAAATGTGAAATATAGTTATGGCAATTTAAAATAAAATAAAGAGATAAGGGAGAGAGAGGCAAACAAATTTATAGTCTTTTCCGTGATTTTTTAATTTTGGACAATCCGTCTTCATATGTCTAGGATTTTTGCACTCATAGCAAATAATAGGTTCTTTCTTGTTATCTTTGTTGTACTCCTTTTTGAAAGGTCTTCTTTTTTCATAATTGTTTTTCTTGAAGTGCTTTTTGAGATTTCTACTAAACATGGCATAACTTTCATTCTCCCTGGAGTTTTCATGTTCTTCTTTATTTGATAATGCTTTAAATGCAATTCCACTTTTCTTTTTGTCTTCAACATCCTCATGTCCTTTCATGGTGATCTCATGAGTCAGAAGGGAATCCATAAGCTCATCCAATCCAAGTGTGGAGAGATTTTTGGCTTCTTTAATGGCGGTGACCTTTGCTTCTCAATTCTTTGGTAGACACTTAAGAATTTTTCTGTAACAACCCTCGTCACTGTTTACCGATAACTACCGATTACTGCTAAACTGAGACTGATTGTGATTATAACTGAAGTAATTGAATTGATTGAAATACTGAACTGACTGACTGAAATTTGAAACTGATTGATTGACTGTATCTGTTTAAATGCATTTGCTATCTGTTGATTGTTAATTGATCTGTTCGTGTTTTTATGTTTAAATTGCGAATTGAAAACCTTATCGGCGGCCGAATTTGAAATTGATTGATGATTTGTGATCCTTAGAATTAATAGAATTTTATGGCATATTCATCTGAAAACTGGTTAGGTATGATTAAATTAGATTAAATATTGATAAATTGCATAGTTGGCCTTATTTACATTGGTGCCACCTAGTGGCCCACTACTTGGACTATTGTTGAGCCTTATTACACTCTATACAAAACATTTTCATCAGCCTTTCCTTGTCTCAACCGACCAAGAGAGAGAGGGAGAGAATTGATTTGTTCTTGAGAGAATTGCTTGGAAATTAGGAAGATTAAAGGAGTTCTCGCAACATTGAGCCTCCATACCTCTAATTCAAGACTTAGGTAAGGAAATTCAACCTTTTGTTGTTGTGTTTATGAATGTTCATCCATGGTTCTTGTGTTCTTAGTGATCTAAGCCTAGAACTAGCTCAAGTTGTTGAATTAAGAGCTCATTCCATGCATGCATGCCTATATTGTTGAATTTTGAGTTGATTTTATGGAGAATTGTCACATGCATTCTCATGGTTATGTTAAGTCCATGTTTTCATCTTGTTTTTATAAGAGTTAGCTCATTAGAGCATGAAATTGAAGCTTTGAAATGGTTTAAATTCATGCATGTTTGCATGTTCTTTATGTTCATGAAAATTTGGTTCGAATTGAGTTGTTTGAAACAACCTTGGGCTTTGATTTTACAATTGAGCTTTGGAATCATGTTTAAGTATGAGTTTTGATGTCTTTTTGGAAAATTGGCCCAAGATGATCGAAATTTATGTTTAAAACTTGGTTTTGAGCTTGAGGTTCAAATCTGGAATTTCTAGAATTTGGACTCACGCTCGAGCGGGGTAACTGGCGCTCGAGCGTGGAAATCGTGCTCCCAGCATTTTTTGTTCTATTTTGAAGTTCGCTCGAGCGGAAGAATTGACGCTCGAGCGGGACATTGTGTCATATGCTCGAGCGGGTGTCGAGCGCCCAATCGAACGTGTTTTTCACCTATCCAGCACTTTTGACTGTTTTGCAGAACGCTCGAGCGGGTAATTCTACGCTCGAGCGGAAACCTTTGTCTGCATGTCCGCTCGAGCGAAGTAACCTACGCTCGAGCGTGACCCCTGTTTTCTGAAGCTTCTGAAAATGTTTTTAAAGTGCATCTTTGCATCCTCATCTCATCCTAGGCATTATTAGGCCTAGTTTAAGGCATCTTAATGAGAATATAAATGTAGAACACACCGAGGCAAATTAGCG